ATAGTCTTCTCATCATTTTGATCTAGTGGGTAAATATATTGGGACTTCGATGCAGAAAGTGGATTCAAATCCAGTCTCTTGAATATTCAGTACAGTCTTGCATATTGCATGTCCACTAAGTGGAACACAGTCCACCACCCTCTGCAAGGAGCGCAGTAGACCTCTTGTTTTTCATGCTGCTTGGAACTTTGAAAGGGGGAGAGGCCAAGTTCCTAGAAGGCCACAATATGTGGCTGGTAACCCATTGGCTTAATAAGTGACATACTAGGCAGTCTCCTTTTAGATTGTTGGATAGGCATAACCACATCTCAGCCTCAATTCCCCCTCTGTAAAACATTTACTTCTCCAAACTTAAAAACACTTCATTTACATGAAGGCCTATATAATTAATAAATAATAGCCCATTGATCATGAATAAAAATATCATGAGACTCCTCAAGGCTTAAGGAATAGAAATGACTTCTGCATTCTCTGAAGCTGATGAGAAAAAATACCATTTTGTGGCCTTGAAATGGAAAGGGATCTACAGCTGAAATGCTAACAATACATTGCAATGGCAACCATGCTTTTCTTAGGGTTCAGCTACAAAGTTACTGCATTCATGACTAAGGGTAGACATCTAAAGAAACAGTATGCAGTGTATTGTCTGGGAAAGGAAATTGCCTAGCCTTCGGACAACTCTTGCAGGCATTTACCTCTGTGGTATTTTCCAAGCCCTGAGCAATATTTTGCCACAAAGATTTTCAAGGTAAATACTCATGTAAAACGGATAATAAAATAATATGCCAGAGGACATATTTATGTTTAGGATTTATTTTTCCCCTGATAATTTTCACTGTATCACAGATACTGCTAACATTAACTTCCCAAATGTCCAGTAAATCCAACCAAGGTGAAGCATGCTTTAAGACTGGTGTAAACAGACCCTCACTCTGAACATTGGGCTCCCTGCCCTTGCAAACACCCCCTTTCCATTGGGATTGCCAACTGACGAGAAAAAGTACTTCAGTCTACTCTTGTGCCTTTAACAGCACTTTAATAATTCAGAGGAAGCTTTTCATAGCATGGAGATAAATAATATCACCTGCACATTTATGGGGGCTGACTAAAAAGTTGGCAACCCCATTGCCAATTAAGTGGACTGAAACAGTCCGCACAAGGGAGGCAGGCACCATAGGGAGCAATTTAAAATAGCCTCCATTCAGCATGCCTTTAATTCACCCCAGACCTTACTCTAAATCACAAAGTGACTATAAGCTGAAGGTGCATTCCTAAGTAGGAATCCTACATGGGACTTTATATAGCCCTTCCACTTTTCCACTTGATCATTACATTATGTTTACTGGAATCAACATTGCATTCCACTTTTTAAAAAGAAAATATGGATAATTACCATAGTTGTCAAAATAACAGTAGGTTGAGCTTGTCGAGTGCACATTTCATAATGACTACCGTCCTATTTTTAGCAGAGTTTTATTGATTTGGTTTCCATTATCTGTATTCCACATCAAGCATCTGGTTAAACTTGATGTCCTTTTTAGTAAAAACTGATTCAGTTGGCCTGCTGTCCTAAAAAATCTGCTCACATGTCTAAGTGCCACTTAAAGGAACTTACAGTTGGGCTGGCCTGAGAACAGATTAGGATCATGAGTGAAAACTTCAGACCCAAAGACTTGCCATTCTAGATTGTATCAAGGATCCAAATAGTCTGATACTCTAACAATGGCCAGCTGGATGTTTCTGAAAGCTTATATTCAGAAGAAATACTGTTATTTTTAAAAGAAAAGGAAATACTATTCTTTTAAAATATAGAACAGAAATTTCAAATAGAGGAATGTTTAATTTTAAAATTACTCTGCAATCTCCAGCCTGATACACATATTTTCTCAGGCCCAATGAATTCTAAGGGATCTTCATTCTAAGCCCCCTCAAATAAGAAGCAGAGAAATGGGGCAGGGTCTTGTTCAGTGTTCTGCCTTTCTCAGATGCAAGTATAGTTGGGACATAATATATGGCTTTTGTCATGGTGTTATCAACCCCAAGAACTCCTTGTCCCAGGATACTAATCAACCCATTTCCTTGCTTTCTGCCACTAGGTAAAAATATTCCTATATACAACAGCTTTTCCTGGTTATTAACAGTGGCTATGGTATGTTTCAATTGCTGCACTTTAACACTGCAACCCTATTCATTTCTACTTGAAAATAAGTTTCACTGACTTCACTTCTCAAGTAAGTGTGCATGGGGTTGCAACCTTAGCTGTGTTTTGTTGTTTGAAATAGAATCCAGATTTACATTTTATGTTGCAAATTGCTTTAAGAACCTGTTTTAGTGAGAAAACTAATGTGAATTAATCAAATAAATTCATGAGCCCTGGACTTCACCTACGAAGCCCATTGCAACACATTTACTAGAAGAAAGCCCCTGTGATTCCAATAGAACATTCACGCATAAATACTATTTAGTCTATTTTTTTCATGCCCAACTCTTCATACATGAGAAAACCTTTGAGCCTCTCTCATATTAGTCACATATCGTACACATATAAAAGTTGTGAGCTATGAATCAAAAGGAGACGAAAATCATTATAAAAATCCAAACCTATATTTTTCTAATATATGTTTACATTAGGAGATGGGGAAATGCAGGCATTGCTTTGAGTGTGAAAATACAGGGCCAGATAGAATTTACTGTCAAATCAATCAAGAAAACATAGAAATCTGGCAGGATTCAGGAAGAATATATGCCCTCCTCTAAGACATACGGAAGAGCCCATCATAAATGGGCCCAGTGTCCTTCTAATAGCTCTTATCAGTGCCTCTGACCCAAACCTAATATTCTTTTTTTTAATCATTTTAAAATCCCACATTCTAGCTGTCACTTAGTCCTCATCCTAAGAAAAGGATCTACTGATACAGAAGAGCTAGCTTTTCTTATGTGGTCTGCAGAAACTATTAATTTGCACTTATAAACTAGTTCCAAATCAAACCAAAGTCTTTCGACTTTGGAAAGGAAGAGTTGACTGGAATTTATGTAAAGGAAAAGGAGCTGCCTTAGAATTTTTGTAATGGACCTGAGGGTGGCTTACAGTTGGGAGCAGGAGGCTTTAATAGGCAGAACTGCCCCCCCCCACACACACACCATACTGAGACTTATACTGTGTTCCTACTCAGGGTGCTATGTTTACAGCCTTTCAGAACGCTGCATAGAAAGGAAAACTCCACTGTGTACAACTTCCCCCACCAATTCAGCACTATGCTGACGGGAAAATAACACATCAGGCAGAATTCTTTTCTAAAATAATATTTCTTCCAGGCAAGTGTTTGGATGCACAAGAGCCACAGAATTTTGACATAATCCCAAATTTTCTATGAGAAGTCAAACCTAGTTTATTTCTGTTTTTGTTCTGAATTACTAATACTTCAGAAGGAGGCTTGGCAAATGGGTGGAAACTGGCTTCCTAAAATCTGCCATCTTTTGTTGCCTTGCATATTTAAGGCCAACACATCAGTAACAGCCAGCTCAAAATTTTAAATTTTTAAAAAAACCCCCCCCCCCCCCCCCCGTCTTCTCTGCCCTGTCTTCCTTTCTGTCTGAGAAGCATTTCTCCCTTCAGAAGCCACCAGAGGTCACTGCTACATTTATTTGACAATTCCAACATGTTGGGAGTCAGAATTTTGGAGGAAAGGATTTTGGAGACAGCAGTTTTTTGCTGGTGGAAAATGTTACAGCTCCTGTTTGAGTCCAGAATGAAATGCAACTCCCACCCCAAAGAAGGATGGGTGGGGAGCATAGAGGTCAATTGCCACATACATTCCATGCAATGAGCCCTTTTAAAACCCCGTCTGCTGTGCCTCATGGTATTTCAGTTCTGTTGGGTGCCTTGGATTGCCTCCCCTCCACCTGAAGTCACCTCATTCACCATACAAAAAGCTCAGTACATCTTCTCTCAAGATAGATACCTTGGAATAAGCAGGTTTGTGCCCCATTGCCAGACAAAAGAGAAAATGCCACTGTATGCATTCCCCTCCCCACTGCAACACTATGGAAAGGAAAACACATCAGTCTAAAAATAATTTCTTCTACTCAAGTCTTTAAAAGCACCAGAGCCCCACAGACTTCTGACACAATCCCAAATCTTGTGAAAGAAGTCAAACCCAGTGCCTCAAATCTGAGAAAATGAGTTTACACCTCTGGTCTTGTGTGGGTTTACTCAGAAGTAAATGGAGTTCAGCATATCCCCAAGTAAGCATCATAGGACTGTAGCCTTAAGGGCATTGTTATGTAGTCTCTTAACAATTATTCAATGCGATTTTCATGTCTGCATATGTAAGACTTTATATATGCAGATGTGAAAAGCAACATTAAAATTATTGTCAAGATATTATATAATTGACTTAGTGCCCGTAAGGCATCAACCCAAATGCAAAGAGAAAAAGAATTTGGAAAAGAATTTGTGTGAAAGAACTAAGTTCTAAAATCAAAAGGCACATTCACACACAGTATTAAGGCTGCATGTGTTCTGATTTGTAAGTAAATATATCAGAGTTTACTTGATTTTTGTTCTGAATGGACACCTCAGAGCAGTCTACATATGTGATTCCATGCAAATGGGACTTGAACTCAGTAGGACTTGCTTCCAAGTAAACACTGAACGGATTAGTAGTAAAAATGCCTCTGTGTTCATAATATGTCACGTCTCTGTGTTATTGCCGCAGGAGTGGAACAGACCCATTGCAAAATCAAATATGCATTTCAGCCAATGTCAGGGTTTTACTTGAAAATTATAGCAGGGAATGCAACTGCCAAATTATTGATTGATTGACTTAAAATATGTATATGCCCATCTTTCTCCCAAGCATCTCAAGATCTAAGGTGGGGAACAACAGTATGAAAACAACTTGCTAAAACAAACATTAACATAGATACAAAAAATATTAAAGACTAATCTAAAAACACATGCCTCCAACCAGCAGGGTGTTTCCTGTTTGCTCAGGCTGCCCCCAGTTTAAGCCTCACTTGGTGAAACTGATCTGTGGTTATTACGCTCCTTCCTTAAATGTTCCCTTCTGCCTGACATATTCCTCATGCAAGAAGACTTTGACATGGGAAGGCCAAGCCCCCAGAGCATTCTGAAGAGATGCCATCAAGCAGAGAAGTGTACTGCATGTCCCCTGAATGATGCAATCAGCTCCTAGTTCCAAATGCCTGGTCAGCCTAATACACATTTACTCAGAAATGCCCTACTTTGCTCTAAACTCTAAGACTTATTTCCAAATAAGCTACCTACACCTGCAATCTTACTAGGAAGGTTGCATTCCGAGGACACAAATCCTGTTGAATCAGTGGGGACTTACTTCTGAGTAAATGTGTATAGGTGTCTCATATTTTGGAATAGATCAAAATCTACAAGACATTTAAAACAGTGGATGGTTTACTGTCACACATGCTATGAATATGACTTGGGAACATGTTTCACTGTTTGTGTGCATTTGATATTTTTTGTTAAGGAGGAACAGGAAGCAAACAGTAGACGGTTCTCAGTGCAACGTACATTTTAGCTAGCGTATTTGCATTATTACAGCTGTGGAAAAGTCAAGAGCTGCTTACAGAGGCATTGTGTGAAGATGACTAAATGGTTTCTTTGGGCTGAGGTTTTTTCTAGGCAACACCTTAACATCTGATGAAGTAGGCTGTTGCCTGGAAGATTCCTGTTGCCTTTTGCCTGCAATCCTGCTCTTATAGAAAATAATAGCAGAACTGAAAGCAGGATTATACACGACTTTCTCTTATTTGGTGATTCTTGCTTCCCAGTAAACAGGGATCAAGAACAGATCATCATCCAGAGAGTTTTTTAATTACCTGGCTGCCAGATACTAAAATTTAAGTATATTTCCAGACTACCTAATTTACTTCAGTGTGATTAGAACGTTCGCCCATTCTTATACCCTCAAAATTGCAGATACCTCCTCATTTAATTCTTGACACAATTCAGCCTATGTTAAGCCTGTTTAAATTCCCATGGGGAAATATGTACAGTTTGGCCGTGCAATCAATGGATTTAGGATTGTGTTGCAATTCTCCCATTTAAAGCAGATGCCATTTAAAGATGTAGTCTACATGCACTTAACTTGACAGTAAAACCAGTTTAAGATTTTTAAAAGATGTCACTCTTTTATTAACAATGAAGCCGCAGTGCTCCACTCCAAAATTAATTGTTCAGTAATTGCACTAATTTGGGAGGTTTTGGCTATTCCTGCAATATTAGATTTTGAAGGATTAAATAGATATAGTAAAATGAGCCCAGGAAGTGCTTTATTTCACCAGATAAAAGACAAGGGTGATAGTTTTTTTGTATCTTTAGGAAACTGTGGTTACCAGAAAGGTCTCCTGTGTGAGCCCATGGAATTGTAAGGGAGCTGATTTTGTAAAAAGATGGGAGAAATTCTCTAAACTACAAGCCCTCTTGAAGTTCTCTGCCTCTTTGCCTTCTCAGTTGTTTTCCAGAGTAGCTTGACTTTACAAGACTCATCCAAAGGTTTTTCTTCTCAAAGCCTAAGTCCCATGCTGGGATTTTATAACTATCTCCAATACTGGAGCGTTTTGTCCCTAAAAACAGAGTCACTCTGAGGCGAAAGTAAATGATGATAAGAATGCTAAACCTTTAATTAAGGGCTCTAGATAGACCGATGCATTTTTCCCCCTTCTAGAATTAAGAGGAAAGGGGCTGCCAAGGGCTGCCCCCTTACATGACACTAGGACCTGGAATCAAGAACACGGGTTTGAGATTGGCTTGTAATTCTGAACTTTCTTGACACTTCTACCTTCTTATTCAGAAGTCAGAAAACGTCTTTCAGCTCAGCGGGACTTATCATCTCCGAGTAAGTGAGCCCGGGCTCCGGACAGACTTCAGTAGGTGTTCCAAGTGGCTGCCTTGGAAATCATTGGGCCACACTGAAAGCGGTTCGGCTGTGGCTAGACCGTGCCCGGCTTTCTTTCAAAAGGAGAGGCCTTGCTTGCTTTCTGGCGAGCGTGCTTTAGGATGGAGGCGCCTGAGCAGCGCCCGTCTGACAATTCCCTCGCGACGCCCAACGCGGTGCCGGGGGCCATCCTTTCTCTGCGCCGCTCGTCCCGGAGGCCCCCCAGCCCTCTCCCCTCCAGTCTTCCCCTCGCCGCCGCCCCGAGGTCCCGGCCGAGGAGAGGCGCCTCTGCGCTGCCCGCCCTCCGCTGGAGCTCGCCGGCCTTGGAAGCGGCTCAGCGGCCGGAGATTCCGATGTCACCTCCAATTAAGAGCGAACAATTCCGGCCGGGCTGGCTCCCTCGGCCCCCCTCCGGTCACCCCGCCGTATCAGAGGACAGAAACTCGCCGGGGCGGGGTAAAGAGGTTTTGTGCCCTGGCTGGCCAACGCGTGAACCCCAGTTCAACGGGGGCGGGGGCCCCGCACCTCTTCTAAAGGAGGACGCTTTCTCTCCTCCTCTGGACGACAGGCGGTTCAAGCCCACATTGGCCCGGGGGGGGGACCCCAACCGCCCCGGGACGTCCCTCGCGGATGCAGTTAGTGCGATGGCCGGTGGTGGTGGATCGCATCACGCCCCTTTGTTCTGGAATAATTCACCTCTGGGATAACTCCTCCGACCAGATTCTCTGGAGCCCTTTGGGGGGCCTACAGTCAGAGTACTTGGAGAGTGCCCTCCCGCTTCAAAGCTGTTGGTGCGCCTGCGCCGCCAGTTCAAACGAGCAGGTTTATGAATTAATCCAAAACTGAAGGAGGGCCATCCCTGTTCCCTCCCAGAGGGCTAGATGATCCCGCCGAACCAACCGGTCGCTCTCCACAATTGCCCTCCTTCGCGGTCATTCAAAGACACACACACGCACACCCCTCTCCAAACTAGTTACGCCACTAAAGTTTGTCGCTAAGGAGAGAGAAACCAGAATGGCTCTATTGTCGCAAACTGCAAATTTCATGCTCCGGGACCTCCCGTTAGAGGGCAATTTCACGGGTAAATGCAAGTCCGCCCGCCCTCGTCTGAGGCCCGTGCATAGCCGCCTGGCAGCTCTTCTGGAGCGGGGGTTCCCTTGGAAAAAAGGACAACCGGGCAGGAAGAGCCCGCGCCCTTTGGGCAACCACTGTGGCCCGCGCTCTTTGGGCAACGGCAACCACTGTGGTCACGAACCCTTCTCGCGAGGAAGATGGTTTCCTATCCTCTGCTCGCTCTTTTTTCTCACCCTCCCCCAATTATTAATACATTCTTTTGAAGAGACTCGTTATAATGAATCGGCCTTGGTCCAGTTAACATCCCCCGCCGTCTTCTAATGGGAGAAAGGAGTGATTTCTCCGATTTGCCGAAGCTGGCAGCTGATCAGGCACAGGCATGAGCTCCCCTGACTTCTCTGGTAGCCACTTCCGAGGAAACGTGGTTAGAGGCTCTACCTGCTCAGAAAGTCCCAGGCTGGGAGGTGGCCTCTGCCACAAGCTCACCAGGTGGCCTCGAGCCTCAGTCCGGGCTGCAACCTGGGAGGCATCTAGAGATGGGGGGGGGCAGGAGGAGGGGTGCTTTCAGACTTCTGCGCACGAACCCGGAGCTGGTCCCCTCACCCTTAGGCCCGCGACCCTTCGCCCCTGTACCCGCGAGCGCTCTCACACCCTCACCAAGGCGGATCACAAAACTGGCTCCCTTGGAAATCAAAGGGCTGGGCAGGTTCCACAATCCAAGTACAGGGGGGCGGCGTCTCTGGGCCTCCAGGGAATTTCCTTCCCAAGGCCAAGGGGATATTCTGAAGGGGTTTGCGAGTGGAAGCGATGGGAAGGTGTTTAAGCCCCCGACACACACCCAAAAAAGAAAGGGGGATCAGCAGGGGAACCCCCACCCACTCACCTGAGTTGTAAGTGACCAGGTCGACGCCTAGGGCGGGGCTCTTTCTCTTCCGGGGCCGGCCCTTCTGGACGGTGCCGGTGCCGTTGAAGTAAGGCAGGGCCAGGCCGCCGCCCTTGGCCGCCAACTCGGTGTAGCTCAGCTGCGGAGGCGGGTAGGCGGAGGGGTCGGTGCCCTGCAGGAGGCTCTCGAAGTGCGCCCGGCAGTAGACCACGTTGTCCTTCATGCCGAAGTGGTCGCCCGTCGTCAGCGTCTTGTTGCATGTGGTGCAGGTGAAGCAGCTGAGGTGGTAGACCGAGTCCCGGGCCCGCATCACCATCTCCGAGGCCGAGATGCCCAGGTGGCAGCGGGCACACCTCTGCACGGAGAACCTTCTGAAGGGAAAAGCACACCCGGTGAGCGCCACGGGCGCAGAGCCCCCTCCCCACCAGCTCAGACGTCCCGGGACAGGCTGGCCCTCCTTAGGACGTCGGAAACAGACTTTTACCACGCCTTAGGTACACGTGTGTGTGTGGGGGGGGAATGGTCGTCTGGGTGGACTTTGCAAGAAAGAAGATGGCAAAGTTATGGCAAAAGGTCATGTGATGATTGTATGGATGGTCTCATACTGAATCCGGAGCAGGTCCTTTTAACTCCACACAAGCTAAGTTCAGTAGGGGGGGGGGACCCTCCAAAACCCTAGAGGAGACAGGACTTCGGGAGCTCTAGTTCAACGGCAAGACGGAAAAGAAAAGGATGAGGTCAGTTACCTCGCTAAACTGGCCTGCGTTTAATTATCTTGCAATCTGAATTGAGAAAAAGCCGTGTGGACACGATGCGATCAAAGTGTCCCTCTGTGAAAGCACCTGTTTAACACCTCCTTGGAAACCACAGGTCCCAACTTGGCTTAGCTTTGGATAGAGCCTGCCCCAAATAATCACAAGTCTTCACCTAGACTGCCCCCCCCCCGCTTCTTTTCCATGGCTCTTGCGCATGCCCAATATACAGATGCCTTTTCAGATGATGTGCCAGTCACCCTTCTTAAAATAAGTAATTTGGTTCTGTCCCGACTGAAGAAATCTTGGTAGTCTTATGCCCTTAAATGGTTGAAATCTTCATAACATTGGAAGCGTATAAACAAGAATGATACCGGGATGTGGGGGGGGGAAGCATACGTCTTTCTTTTTTAACCTGCTGTATCGCAATAGACTCCCCCTTAGAAGAGACTCCCCCTTATTAACACGGATTAATTTTCTTTTAAAAATTAGGTCGCCTGGTTAATCGAGGGGGAATTTTAAAAATATGTTAAAACCCGAGTGACCAGTTAATCATCACCGGCTGCAGCAAACTCAGCAAAACCCTCTTCTGACTCCTGAGTAAACTTGCTCAAGATCGGACTACATACGATACAGACCGTGGGCAGACCCGATCCGTTTTCTGGCTGGAGAGGAACCCTCCCCTCCGGTGTGCCGAATGGCTCAGAGGACTGGGAGGTTGGAGCTGCAAGCAAATCCCTCCCTGTCTCCAGCGCCTCGAGCGACTCCACTGCCCTCTGTACCTGCCCAGAGGTGCTCTTCTTCGACTGACCGACTAGGGGGAACTCTGAGCCCTAGAACTTGAAGACACGGACAGGCCAAGCCCTGACCAGAGATGGTGGGAGCGCTTTACAAGGCTCTAGCCCTCACTGCCAAGCAATCGAATCCGGGATGAACTTTCGCCCCAGGCCTAAGCCTTCGAGGAGGGGATCCCTTTCTTCCTGCTGGGCTTTGGCACGACTTCTGGAAGCCACCCGGGCCTTTCACTTTTCGCTTGCAAAACCCTCGGGACTCCCCAGTCCGGGCACAGAGTGCGGGGGAAGCAAAGCACCAAGGAGTTCAGGAGGTCACTGGACCTGGGGCTGGGAGCATTTTACCTGGGAGCGCGACGTCCCGTAGCCCCCCTGACATTCGCGCTGGTCATGCGGCCTCTGGAAGGGGGGACGGAGATGACACTAGGGAGTCTTGGGAGTCCGGGTCCCCCTGCGCTTGGAGGGGCTTACTTGTGAGTAAGAAACGCATTGCTTCGGGATCTAAGGCTGCGGCTGTGGACACTCTTGGCTAGGGAGGCCCCTTTCCCTGGCAATCAATGGGAAATTGTTCCAAGGAGGCGTGGGACGGTCCGGAGGTCTAGAAAAAAATGGCTACGAGCCGTGTCTGAAAGGCTGACGAAACCCGAATGCGTCTTTTTTAATGAGAAAACAAAAAGGAGGTTTGTCTGCTGGCGGCTCAGCGCTAACGAGGGAGCGCAGCAAGGCTGCCCAGCGGGAGGGCCCGATCTGGTTCAAGAGACAGGCTCTGGCTGCCGGGGGAGGGGAGGGGAGGGGGCGGCGGCTTTTGTACCACCACACCAGGCTGTGGCTGGCCCAGGAGAGTCCCATCGGTGCCCGGAAGTGGCACCCGCCGTTTACTCTGAAAACATGAGTGGCTGGGGGGCTGCGATCCTAGACACGCTTCCTCGGCCGGGAGATCTCCCCCGAACGCAGAGGAACGCACCAACCAGAAGATATGCATGCAGACCCCCAGATCCTTGGAAGGAGATCCGTCCAGGTGACGGTTGCTCGGGAGATGCAGCGTTTGATGGCTGCGATTA